ATTTGAATTACATTTCAGGCCAGGACCCGGGAAACAAGGCACACTCATTAATTTATTGATTCACCCCACAGACCTTGTACGTCATCTAAAAGTCCAACAAGATCCTAGGCCTTGGGGATATGGACAGTAAAAAGAGGACATAAGCCCTAACCTCCTGGGTCTGTGAACCTCCCAGTCTAAAAATAAGCAGCCCTGTCAAGAAGTCCATGTGAAAGTGCTAATACTGTCCCAAGTGTTAGAGGAGTGGGAAAGAGGAGCTGTGAAATGGGTCTGCACGAATTCACACGTATGAAGGGGCAGGCAGGTGAGGCAAAGAGGGGTGGCCTCTGGAAAGCACATGTCCCATCTAAAGAAGAAAGCCTCTGAGATGCTGAGGGTCAGGGGGTGATTTACCACTGAGCTACATCCTCAGCCCTTTTTATTTTGTATTTTGAGACAGAGTCTCACTAAATGAGTTAGGGCCTTGATAATCTGCTGAGGCTGGCCTCAAACTTGCTATCCTTCTGGCTCAGCCTCCTTAGTTGCTAGTATTACAGTTATGTGCCACTTTGCCTGGTTTGTAACCCATGATTCAAAACATGGTACTTGAGGGGTGCCTTATGGGAAACAGAGCCCTGCCCCTCACCTGGGCCCTTTGCTCTCCCTGGGCCCTTGGTCCTGCACCTGGAATCCTGACACCTGGCAGTGGCCATGGGCCTGGAGCCTAGCTCCACCCTGCCAGATCCCCTACTTTCCCTCCCCAGCCTGGTCCACTGTCCTGAGCGCCCTGCCCCAGCCCTGGCCCTTGACTCTGCATTTCCTGGCCTGGCTCCTTGCTTGAGCCTCCCTCAGGTAGCCCTTCCTGCTCCATGAGTCCCTGGGTGTTGACTGCGGCCCCTTGCTGGGGCCTCTTCCCTGCTCCCCTTGGCTTCCCTGTACTGCAGTACCCTAGTGCTGCCAGCCTTCCCGGCCCCGCCCTTCCCTGCTCTCCCCTGGCTTGGGCCCTCCTCTGGGTCCCTCACTTGGGCTCATTTCTGAGGTCCTGGCCCCCACCCCACCTACATCCTTTTTCCAGCCTTTCAGGCTGTGCCCTCCTTAGGCCCGCCTATCGTCATCCCTATCCCTGCCAGGCTCCTTTTCGGGATCTCCTTCCCAGGATGCTCACCGGGGTCAGGGGACTGGACCTGGTTTCTTGACCCTGGGGGCTCCCTTTGGGAAAACGTAGCCCTGCCCCTTGCCTGGGCCCTTTGGCCTCCCTCAGCCCGGGGCCTGCTCCCAGACCCTGACACCAGGCAATGGACCTGGGCCTTGAGGCTTCCTCCTCCTGCACCAGCTGCTCCCCTTTCTCCCCTCCCTGCCCTTCCCAGCCCTGTCCCCCTTTACATGCACCACACCCCAGCACTCGCAGTTGGCTCTCCATTCCTGGGCCTGGCTCCTTGCTTGAGCCCCTGGCCGCACTTCTCAAGGACCCAGTCCCTGTCCCTTGATTTCAGGCCCTTTTTTCCAGTACCCCCCTGTGCCTCCCCTCTGTTCCCCTTGTGCTGTGGTATTCTGGCACTGCCGGGACCCTCCGTTCCCCCTGCTTCTCCCTACACTGGTCTTCTACAATGAGTCCTGGTTCCCCACCTTCCCCCCCCGACCTGCGCACACCAGGTATCCCCTCACAGAGCCCTCTTTTGGCCCTCCTTTGCTCCAGGTCTCTCACTGAGGATCTACTCACCTGGGGCAGAGGAGTGGAATTGGCTGGCCTTTATACTCTGAATGTTCCCATGGGAAACATAGCCCTGCCACTCGCCTGAGTCCCATTCACCGCCCGAACCTTGACGCCTGGCAGTGGACATGGTACTTGGGCTGATCTAGCCCTAAGCAATCCCCTTCCTTCCTTCCCCTGCCCTCTTGCCTTGCATGCTGCCCCTACCCCAACCAAGCCCTCCCTAACACTGACCCTTCGCTCTCCACTCCTGGGCCTGGCCGCTTGCCTGAGCCCCTGTCCACGTTCCTCATGTCACCAGGCATTTCGTGGGGTCACTTCGTGTAGAGCCTAAACTGGGGTCTCCTTGCTTGAGCCTCCTAGCACGCTCACTTAAGTGCCCCTTGCACCTCCCTCTGTTTCCCGGGCCTCCACGGCCCCTTTCTCCCCTTCCCCTGCACTTTCCCCTGGTGCTCTCTGGTCTCCTGGTCTTGGGATCCCTCATTCTTGGTCATTCAGACAGTCCCCTGCCTGATCTCCTCACTTAAGTCCTGGCTCTCGCCCCTCTCTGCACTCACCGCGACCCCCCCTCCCCCGCTGTGCCCTCCAGTTTCCCTCCTCCTGATCCCTTCCATTGCCAGGCCTCCTTTGCCTGGTCCCTGACCCTGGATTCTCATCTGGACCAGAGTGCCCCTCTGGGAAACAGAGCCCTGCCCCTCGCCTGGGCCTTTGCTCTCCTTGGGCTCTTGGTCCTGCACCCAGAACCCTGACACCTGGCAGTGGTCCTAGGCCTGCAGCCTAGCTCTCCGCAGCCAAATCCCCTGCCTTCCCTCCCCAGCCTTGTCCACTTTCCTAAGCCCCCTGCCCCAGCCCTGCCCCTTGGCTCTTGCGCTGACCTAGCCCTGAGCAATCCCCTCCTTTCCTTCCCCTGCCCTCTCCCCTTGTAGGCTGCCCCTACCCCAAGGCAGCCCTCCCGAACCCTGAGCCTTTGCACTCCAGTCCCTGGACAGGGCCGCTCGCCTGAGCCCCTGTGTTCCTCAAGTCACGTGGCGTAGTGTGGCGTCCTTCTTGTCGGGTCTGACCTGGGGGCCCCTTGCATGGTCGTCCTAGTGAGCTCCACTCCATGCCCCATGCGCCTCCCTCTGTCTCCTGCTCCTAACGCAGCCCCTTTCTCCTCTTCCCCTCGCGCTTTCCCCTGGTGCTTTCCCCTGGCGCTCGCGGGTCTCCTGCTCCTTGGGTTCCTCATCCTCTGTGGGTGGGGTGGGTCCCTTGCCTGGGCACCTGGCTTGGGTCCTGGCTCTCGCTCCTCCACACAGCCACCACCGCCCCCGCCGTGCCCTCCCATCACCCTTCTCCTGGCCCCCTTCTCTTGCCAGGCGTCCTTAGCTCGTTCCCAGGTTCTGGATTCTCATCGGGGCCAGAGTGCCTCATGGAAAACAGAGCCCTGCCCCTCGCCTGGGCCTCTGCTCTCCCTGGGCCCTTGGTCCTGCACCTAGAACTCTGACACCTGGCAGTGGCCCTGGGTCTGGAGCCTAGCTCCCTGCTGCCAGATCCCCTGCCTTCCCTCACCAGCCTTGTCCACTGTCCTGAGCCCCCTGCACCAGCGCTGGCCCTTGGCTCTCCATTCCCTGGCCTGGCTCCTCGCTTGAGCCTCTGATGGCTCTTCTTGTTCCATGTGAGTCCCTGGGCTTTGACTGAGAGTCCCTCGCTGAGGCCTCTTCCCTGCTCCCCTTGGCTTCCCTGTACTGCAGTACCCTAGTGCAGCCAGCCTTCCCGGCCCCGCCCTTCCCTGCTCTCCCCTGGCTTGGGCCCTCCTCTAAGTCCCTAACCTGGGCTCCTTGCTGAGGTCCTGGCCCCCACCCCACCAACACCTGTTTTCCTCCCCTTCAGGCTGTGCCCTCCTTACGCCCTCCTATCATCCCTGTCCCTGCCAGGGCCCTTTTCCCGATCCCCTTCCCAGGATGCTCACCGGGGCCAGGAGACTGGATTTGGCCTCTTGTCCCTGCTGGCTCCCTTGAAGAAAACATAGTCCTGGCCTGGGCCCTTTGGCCTCCCTCAGCCAGGACCCAGTTCCCCAACCCTGGTACCCAGCAGTGGACCTGGTTCATGAGCCTTCCTCCCTTTGCACCAGCCGCTCCCCTTTCTCCCCTCCTTCCCCTCCCCAGCCCTGTCCATTTTCATGCACCACACCCCAGCACTTGCACTTGGCTCTCCATTCCTAGGCCTGGCTCCTTGTTTGAGCTCCTGGCCGCCCTTCTCCAGGACCCTGTCCCTATCTCTTGACTTCAGGCCCCTTGTTCTGGCCCCCTCCTGTGCCTCCCCTCTGTTCCCCGTGTGCTGTGGTATACTGGCACTGCTTGGACCCTCCACTCCCCCTGCTTCTCCCTAGCCAGTGCTCCTCCAGGGGGTCCTGGCTTCCCACCAACCACCCCCCACCTCTGCATACCAGGTATCCCCTCACAGTGCCCTGTTTCTGCCCTCCTTTGTTCCAGGTCCCTCTCTAAGGATCTACTCACCTGGGGCAGAGGAGTAGAACTGGCTGGCCTCTGGGCCCTGAATGCTGCCTATGGGAAACAGAGCCCTGCCCCTTGCCTGGGTCCCCTTAGCAGCTCAAACCTTGACACCTGGTAATGGAGGTGGGACTTGGGCCTACCTAGCCCTAAGCGATCCCCTCCCTTTCTTCCCCTGCCCTCTCGCCTTGCATGCTGCCCCTACCCCAATCCAGTTCTCCCTAACCCTGACCCTTTGCTCTCCAGTCCCTGGGCCTGGCGGCTAGCCTGAGCTTCTGACTGCATTCCTAGTGTCCCATGGAGTAGCATGGCATTGTTTCCTGTCGGGTGTGACCCAAGGGCCCCTAGCACACTCCCCTTGGTGCCCCTTGCGCCTCCCTCTGTCTCCTGGTCCTCACACAGCCCCTTTCTTCTGTTCCCCTTTCACATTCCCCTGGCAATCGTGGGTCTCCTGCTCCAGCACAGTGAATATGGAAAGACCACCTAGACACAATATTTTGTAATATTATAACTCCAAGCATAAAAGAGAAGATCCTGAAAGAACCAGAAAGATAGAAACTTGTCACTGTTAATGACTTACACTTGCAGCATAACTATTAACCAAATCGCATATATAGAATAAAAAATTTCCTGTTGGGGGAATTGGTATGTTTTGTTATTCCTTTTTTGGTCCTGAAAGGGTTAGTTCACTAACCCTGTTGACTCAGTATCTTAGCACATTTACTGGTGACTTTTTTGTACAATTTGTTTTGAGTTTTAGTTCCTCAAATATTTTCTCACAATTTCCCATTAAAGGACAAACTCAGAGCATTTGTATTTAAGTCACATGTTTTCTCATTCTCTTTCTAGTTAGCTGGCTTTCTCCTTCCATTTGACTGTGACTCCAGATAAATTTCAAGGTAAGTAGGTGATCTCTCTGACAAAGGGACTTTTCTTCCACATTTAAACTTACGACCTCCCTTCTTTCTCTTGTTCTTGTTTCTTTCTTCAGAGGAAGGCTGGTATGGAAGAAAAAGGACAGGGGCTGAAGTTACCTAAACTTGAGTTTAAATCCTAGCTCCGTGACCATATTTACTTCAATGGCATTCTTGGTACTTATAGTCAAAGAGCATTGGAAAGGGCCTTGGCAATCATCTCTTCTCCCCAGAAATGATTTCACAGCCAGCAAAATTGACCAAAACTTTGTTGAGTCAATATATTGGTTCTGGATTCTCATGTGGGCCAGAGCGCCTTATGGGAAACAACTGGTTTGTTGCAACCCTGTGCTTTTATTTATCTCCAGGGAGGACAAGAGCTTTGTGGCATTTATTGGCCAAACCTGAATGAAAGAAACTATTTATGAATGTAGTCTTATGCGAGGGTGTGAGTTAGACCAGGGGACAGCCCTGTAGCATCTGGTTTATGTTTCCAAGTCTGGTTATACATCCTAGTTTGGGCCACTTGACTCCAAGGAGTATAAAAGACCCCTTCTTAGATGATTTATGGTTTTTGCTTTACGGTTATGCATCTGTTAATGGAATTTGAAGGTGGTAGATCTAAAACCAAAAGAAATAACTAAATTGATTAAAAAAGAAATCCAGGCACAGAGGAAGTCAGTCAAGGATACTGTATATTAGCTGGCATTGGCAAAAGTGAAAGTAAGTTAAAAAAGAGTCCTAGGTTGCCAAACCATGACCACTTCCTTCTGTATAGGGAAGGAACATGAGAGTGGGGAAGATGTTTCTTTTGGTGGGACTATGACCCTCATCTTATAGATGATCACTAAAGTGACTCTATAGGGAAAGGACATCAAGAGACAACTAAAAATATAATTATTCAAAGAGATAAGTAAACTGTAGATTGTCACAGAGAGCTTCTTAAACTATTACTAATTTTATTTATTTTTGTTTGTTTTTTGCTCTGTTTTTCATGATACTGGGGATTAAATATAGGGATGCTCCACCACCCATTTTTATTTTTATTTTTTAAAGTTTTTTGGGGGAGTACTGGAGATAGAACTCAGGGGCACTCAACCACTGAGTCACATCCCCAGCCCTATTTTGTATTTTATTTAGAGACAGGGTCTCACTGAGTTGCTTAGCACCTTGCTTTTGCTGAGGCTGGCTTTGAATTCATGATCCTCCTGCTCAGCCTCCCAAGCCACTAGGATCACAGGTGTATGCCACCATGCCCAGCTAAAGTATATTTAATACATTAGTGACAAAGGAGCTCTTCCTTTTTTAAAGTACTGTCCAGTGTATTTTCACATGAAAGGCATGCTTGGTCTTGATAATGATCTTCAATTTGTTGCAGCTTTTGCAGAAATGTGGGCAAATTCCAAATTGGTTGAGCTGGAAAAAATGGGGTACATAAAACATCATGTAAAGGGAAACTGTCAAACTACATCTATAGGTGAGATTACAGAAATGTTGAGATGCAACCAAGCACCTTTGGACTGGTGACATGATGATACAAAGGTAGCCTAAATTTTATGCCTTTGACTTAAGTGATGCTGTGATAAGAGGTCCTCTAATTGCTTATGTGACCTGAATGTCAGGAGAACAGTGAAGAAAGGCTGTTGCCGACCAACTAGCTCATTTGATCCTAGTTGTGCTAAAAGAATAAAAGATGAATAAACCCTCAGGACAAGAGAACTGAATGAATGTTCAGATGGATAATTACAAATGATATGAAAAGGCTGATTGTACCTCACTGGTATACCATGGGCTGAACATATACAAAGCCCTGGATTCAGTCACCATGCTGAAAAACAAAATAGAACTAAGAAATGACATGAAAAAAGGAGGAAAGAAATGGAGTTGCTGCTGAAATTTCAACACACCACTCTAAGATGATTCATTATGGTGGTTAGTCTGTCTGCTCCATTAATCCTTAAACTGTGAAAGAATCACAATGGATTTCTAATTTATACTAGCCTTGATGAATTAAAAAAAAAATTATGATGATACAAAAGTGAAATCTACAGTCCTTTTAAAACAATGTGAGCTCAGTGGTAGAGTGCTGACCTAGCATGTGTGAGGTACTGAGTTCAATCCTTAGCACCACATAAAAATAAAGGTGTCGTGTCCATCTACAACTAAAACAAACAATGTGATGTGAAGAAGAGGATGGTCAAGGTCTCTTGGTGCTGCCCCCACGGGGGGCCTGATGATGTTTTACATTGTTATGGATAAAATAGCCTGCAGGTGGTAAAAAAAAAATTTAGTAGTGCATAATGTATTGTCATATCTAAACCTACTGATGAAAAGTTAAAGTACAACTAAATTAATTTTTATGATATGACAATGCAACTATAGGTTTAAGAAAAAAGTCTACACAAAATCTTGTACACAAGTGCACACAGTAGCATTCTTCATAATAGCCAAAAAAAATGTAAATAAGCCAAATGTTGATAAATGGATAAATAAAATGTGGTATATCCATATAATAGAATATTATTTGACAACAAAGGAAATATGAAGTATTATGTATGCTACAACATGGATGAATCTTGAAAACATTATTCTAAGTGAATGCAACCAGACATTAAGGACCACATGTTGTACGATTTATATGAAATGTCCAGAATGGATAAATCTAGCAGAGACAGAAAGTAACCTAGTGGTTATCTAGGGCTAGGAGAGTTAGAGAAAAATGGGAAACAACTGCTAACGAGCATTTTTTTTTTTTTGGGGGGGGGGTGATGAAACTACTTAAAAATTGAGTGTGGTAAGGGTTGCATGAGTCTGAATATGCTAAAATCTCTGGAATTATATTTTTAAACAGGTGAATATTATGATGTGTGAATTATATCCCAATAAAGCTGTGATTTAAAAATGAAAGATGGCAGGAATTAATGAGGAAAAAATTGTGTTGTACTAGAATATAATTATGTTGTCCATAATTATTGTGCTATCTTTCCCTGATATATTATTGAAATGGACATGATGTCTGAATGGGGAATATGTCCCTTACCCAAGCCTTTGAGGAAAAGGATTTCATGAAAATATGGTCTTCATCTGATTTTATTTGGAGATGCTGGAATAGGGGTCTTTAGAATGACTCAAGCCTATTCAAGTGTTTCATTTGAAGCAATGCAGGATGTTTGGGAGATGTCAAGAGACTCAGCCCCAATTAAGGACATGTTAGATGCAGTTGTACTAATGATGATGAGTTCTTTGTTAAAAAATCTGGTATGGCCTGTGATATAAATTGATGATACAGGATATTCGTTGTGGACTACAGAGGATGAAATCCAGCTGTGCCTCCAATAGCTTCAGCCATGTCTGATGTGGTTTTTAAGAATGCAATATGGCCAGGCATGGTGGCACACACCAATAACCCCAGTGGCTGAGGAAGCTGAGGCAAGAGGATCACAAGTTCAATTTTTTGAGGCTCTAAGAGACTTAGCAAGACCATATCTCAAAATAAAATAGCTGAGGATGTGACTCAGTGGCAAAGCAACCCTGGGTTCAATTCCTGGTGCCCCCCCCCCCAAAAAAAAGTACATTGAAGAAATGTATTTATTTATTTAGGTACTAGGAATTGAACCCAGGGGCACTTAATTACTGAGATACATCCCCAGCTCTTTTTTATTTTTTATTTTGAGACAGGGTCTTGCTAAATTGCTGAAGCTGGCCTCAAACTTGTCATCCTCCTGCCTCAAGCTTGCTGAGTTGCTGGGATTACAGGCATATGCTGTTGTGGGGCAGGGCACTCAGAAAACACACCAAGTCCCAGTTTTGTCCAAATTGAATAGTCTTTATTAAGCCAGCCAGCCGGCAACTGCTCCCCACAGGACCCATGACTGTCTCTGCAGGAACAGCCCCAAGCCTGAGAATTTTAGGATATTTAAAGGTAAAAACTACATCTGGGTTGACGTTGCTGTAAGCAAGCAGGTACAGACACTGGATTGGGCAGTCTGAGAGACAATGCAATGGCTACATTGGTATTTCCCACAGGACTTTCCAGGTTGGCATAGCAGCAAGCAAGCAGAAGGGAAGGGGGTCAAAATGACACTAGTGGAGTACAAGTTAGAGAATGGTTACTAACGTCTAGACAATCTCTGACAAGGTATATTGTCCAAGATAAATGGAAAGCAAAGAGAACAATTTTACATTGTATAAGAATTGCTATTTTGTGTTGCCAGATATGCTATGCTAGGTAACTATTAATGGGTACAGAGGTGGGGTTTTCCCAAGGGAGAAGCATTTTTTACATGATATGGAGTCTCAGGGTAAAATGGAGTCTGTTTGGTCATTGCCCATATAGCTTGCCCCATAACAATGCCACAGCCCTGACTGAAGAAATATATTTATTAATGTGATAATACCTTATAATTTTTAGTTAGGAAAATAGCTTATAAAATAAAATGTATCACACACATAACAGTAAGTATAGTGGGTCACCTATAGCTTGGGTACAGAGCACTGCCATTTAGAAAGTGAGCACAATTAGAAAGTGAAAGCAATTAAAATAATAACTTTTAAAAAATCTAAGCCATCATGGTGATGTATACCTGTAATCCCAGCTACCTGGGAGGCTAAGGCAAGAGGACAGAAAATTTGAGACCAGTCTCAGCAATTTAGCAAGACATTTTTTTCAAAATGAAAAGTAAAAAAAGGGCTGGGGGAGCGGAGCAGCTCAGAGGTAGTACACCCCCAGGTTTAATCTCTAATACCAGAAAAATGAAAACAAAAAGACAAGAAGCTAAATAATTTTATCAAATTACCACTACTGGACTATAACATTTTGTATATATTTTCCCTTAACACAAATGTAAATTTATGTCCATGTTACTGCATGTGTCCATGATGGACATTTGGAAGGTTTCATGATCTGTCTTACTGAGCCAAATCCTCAGTGCCTTCACAGTGCTTAACACACAAGTGAGCATTTAGCAAATATTTGTGGATTGATAAAGTGGATGAGCACTGACATTGTCCAAGCAACTTTTTTTTTTTTTTGCCTTGAAAATCCAGGTAATTTCTGAATTCCTTCAAGTTCTGCCTTCTTCAGAAACAGTAAGGCAAGGCTGTTTATAGTAAAAGTATACCATAGCCAATCAACCTCCTTTTGTCCCTTTTTCAGAAAATGGCCACTGAGGGGAAGGCCTCTGAGGAGAGGATTTCTCAATTTGATTATGATTTGCTCCCAGAGCTGAGTACCCTTCTGGGCATAGATGCTGTTCAGATGGCAAAGGAAATGGAAGAAAATGAAGAGAAAATCCGAGCGAAAATGCAGAAAGGCTTTAACTCACAAATGCGCAGTGAAGTCAAAAGGTTAAAGACTTTCATGACCTACGAGTCATTTAGTTCATGGATACCATCAGAGATGGCAGCAGCTGGGTTTTACTTCACTGGGGTAAAATCTGGGATTCAGTGCTTCTGCTGTAGCTTAATCCTCTTTGGTACCAGCCTCAGAAAACTTCCCATAGAAAATCACAAGAAATTTCGTCCACACTGTGAGTTCCTTCTGGGCAAAGATGTTGGTAACATTGCCAAGTATGACGTAAGGGTGAAGAATCCAAGGAAGAAGCTGAGAGGGGACAAAGCAAGGTACCGAAATGAGGAGACCAGACTCGAATCCTTCAAGAATTGGCCATTTTATGCCCATGGGATATCCCCACATGCCCTCTCAGCTGCGGGCTTCATCTTTACAGGTAACTTGAAATCTTTTTCTGAAGTGTTTCTCTAAAGTGTTTAAATTCCATATTCTGGTGGCATTTCTCAATATTTTATGAACCCTCACTTGTTAAGTGTGTTGTATCCGATATGAAGTCTGTTTTATTAAAATTGAACTTCAAGTCTGGGCCTGATGGTGCACACCTGTAATCCCAGAGGCTTGGGAGGCTGAGGCAGGAGAATAGCAAATTCAAAGCGAGTTCTCAGCAATTTAGCAAGGCCTAAGCAACTCAGAGAGATCCTGTCTCTAAATAAAATATTAAAAAGGCTGGGGACATGGCTCAGTGGTTAAGTGTCTCTGGGTTAAAAAAAAAAAAATTAACTTCAAGCAGGACATGTTGGAACATACCTGTAATCCCATCAACTGGGAAAGCGGAAGCAGGCTGATTGCAAGATAAGGCCCACCTCAGCAATTTAGTGAGAACTTGTCTCAAAATAAAAAATAAAAATGGCTGGGTATATAGCTTAGTAGTAGAGTGTTCCAGGGTTCAATCCCCAGTACTGAAAAAAATTCATTAATTTAAATAAGTTAATAAAATTCAACTTCAGTAATTTTGTTTTGATTTTGCATTTAGCACAATGTGTATTAATTTGTCAAGTATATAGAAAATAAGAATGTTACTGGTCCTTAAATTTGACCTTAGGTAATACTGTTTTTATTATTGTTATTAGTAGTAGTAGTAGTAGTAGTAGTGGTAGTAGTAGTAGTACTGGGGATTGAACCCAGAGGTGCTTAACTACTGAGCCACATCCCCAGCCCTTTTTTTGTATTTTATTAGAGACAGGGTCCCTGGGTTGCTGAGGCTGGCTTTGAACTCATGATCCTCCTGTCTCAGCCTCCCAAGCCCCTGGGATTACAGGCATGCGCCACCATCATGCCCAGCTTTTATTTTTTATTTTGAGACCATGTCTTGCTAATTTGCTTAGGGTCTCTCTAAGTTGCTGAGGCTGATCTCAAACCTGTGATCCTTTTGCCCTAGCCTCCCAAGTTGCTGGGATTACAGGTGTGCACCACCACGCCTGGCTTGTTTATTTTAATCTTAAATCTTACTCTAACATATAGGGCAAAACGCATTTCAGAGCATGGCACCTTGAATTGCCGTAGTCATGCCATAGATGTTCTGATGGATGTGAATGAGAATTCTAAGAACAGATATCATTTGCTGAGTACTTACTTCATGCTAGGCACAGAATGAGCACTAATTCTAATCCAACCAATATGCCCCTTTTCCTCAGATTTTAGTTATTCTTTATTGAGCTCAAATAATTAAGAAATGTGCCTGCATTTCTACAGAAATGGCATAGCAAAAGTCAAACTTAGATCTTCTCACTGATGTTTGTCCACTTCTCCATCATTTTGGTTCTGAGAGGTTAAAGAGCAAAATGTCATTCATGCCAGCCCCGGGAAGCACCTAGGGCAGCATGTTGAGTTCTATAGCTTAGAGTCCTCTGTGAAGGATAGCTATGGCCAAGGGGTCACTTTCTAGAGCTCAAAAGTGGTCATTTAAGGCAGGACTATGAAATGGAGATTCAGCCAGAGAGTTGTGAGAGGACAGGCCAGATGGAGCATGTCTTGTTCATACACAAAATGATCACCTCTGGTGGCATTGCTGGGTGATCAAAACATTTTCTTTCACATGTAGGTGAAAGGGACACTGTGCAGTGTTTTTCCTGTGGTGGATGCTTAGGAGACTGGGAAGAAGGAGACAGTCCTTGGAAGGAACATGCCAAGTGGTTCCCCAAGTAAGTAGATAAGTATTTTCTGATAAAATTTTTCAGTTTTGAAAAAAAAAAAATCAGACAAAATTAAAGACAAAAGAGCCACCTTGCTGGAGTATCAGTTTTGATCTTTCCCTATCCAAAACTGGACTATCCCAGAATTATTCTATCCTTTCATTCCCAGCTTCTCTTCTGCAATTGGGATAGACCTGGTCACAGTGTAAAAAAAAAAATTGAATTATGTAATTTTAAACAGTTTATAAATGTTGTTTTATTACCCCCAATGCAAAGATAAGTTTTGCCAAGTTGAAGTTTCATGATTTGCCTCAATTAATAAACAAGATACTTTGCATAGAGATGGTGTAAAATGGTTTATAGAAGAAGTTAGAAAGTAAATAACAATGTTTGAAACAATCTTACAAATGGTTTCACATACTGCTGATATATGCCAAATGAAAATGTTTCATTTCAAAAACTTGAGAATTTCTTTTTAAATTACAATGGTCTTTATTTAGAAAACGAAGCATATTTTAATTATTTTTAATACTAATTAGTGTCTTCTACCACAGACAGATTCATTTCTTTAAAGTTTTTTTAAAAGTTTTTTAATAAAGTTTTTTATTTAACCACCTGTCAACATGTGGCTAAACCATATTTCATCTATCTCCTGCCCATCTCCCCTGGAAATAATATTAACTAGGTTATTTTAAAGCAAATCCCAGCTATTACATGATCCATAATATTTTAATACTCTTAATATTTTAGTGTGTAACTCTGAATTATGAGTGCCTTTTTAAAAACCACAATCACAATATTATTATCTCTCTTTAAAGAAGATGACCATTAATTCTCAATGTAATCCAATATCTGAGTCAGTAATCAATGCTCACCTCTCTCCTCTTGAGATTTTAATTTATAGATTTCATTCTTCCCTGTCTTTTCTTCCTTGTCATTTATTCATTAAAGAAGCCACATATGGGGCTGGGGTTGTGGCTCAGCGGCAGAGCACTCACCTAGCACATTTGAGGCCCTGGGTTTGAGCCTCAGCACCACATAAAAATAACTAAATAAAATAAAGGTGTTGTGTCCAGCTACAACTAAAAAATAAATTTAAAAAAAAAAAAAAAAAAGCCACATATGGCTGAGGATGTAGCTCAGTGGTAGATGATTTGCCTAGTCTTTGTGAGGCCCTGGGTTCAATCCCCAGAACTTCCAAAAAATAGAAACAAAAAAAAAATAGAAAACCATACAAGCTATATAGGGACTTGTTTGAAGATCTATATAGGAAAAAGTCTAAACCAAGCAGTAGATACCCCTCGGTTTGGTTTTGTCTGTGGGTGAGGTGGTGTGGGATTGTTTGAAGATTTAATTAAATAACTACACATGCTGTCAATATGGAAATAAAGAATAATTACATCAGAACAATGATAATTCTCACAAGTAAGTTTCAGGGTAAAAATTTTTGATAGCTTTATTGAAAATTCAACAATTCAGTATATTTTTAATACATATTCATTGGGATATACGACAACTGTATCACACTATTGGGTAATTTTTAATTATTTTTTATTATAGATGTGAATATCTTCAAAGTAAGAAATCCTCAGATGAAATTGCCCAGTATATTGAAAGCTACAAGGGATTTGTTGATGTAACGGTAAATTAGAACAGCAAAAATTTTCCCAAAGTGTCTTTGGTTGCCTAGTAATATCTGAATCACAAGGTGGGAAGCATTCTTTTTGTGTCATGGGTTCTATTTCTTTTTTCTGTCCTTTCATTCCCAGCTTCTCTTCTGCAAAAAAAAAAAAAAAAAAAAAAAAAAATCACATTCTTTTGTTAATTTCGAGCCCCTAGAATTTCTTTTTCCAGGACTGCCTTCTTTTTTTTTTTAAATTAACTATTTATATTTATATATGACAACAGAATACATTACAATTCTTATTACATATATAGAGCACAATTTTTCATATCTCTGGTTGTATAAAATGTATATTCCACACCAATTCGTATCTTCATACATGTACTTTGGATAATGATGATCACATTCCACCATCACTTATAATCCCATACCCCCTCCCTTCCCCTCCAACCCCTCTGGGACTGGCTTTTAATTGGCTCTGCCTGCCTTCCTGATAGTCTTTGCTCTTTTGCTGAGGCCATTCCTGCAGATTCTTGGAGCTGACCACTTGCCTGAGTAAGTTCTTCTGATGAGAGACCATCATCCACAGAGGGTCTTCCTCTTGGTTATTTAGTTAGCCTCAATCAGTAAGGACTTCCTAGGGGCAGGTGACAGGAAACCCATCCCAAATTGGCTTAAATAAAAAGGAATTGATTGGCTAACAGGACACAGAAGACTGGAACCCAGCAGAGAACCTGGACTAAGAGTGGGGGAGGAGGAGTGCCTCTTCAGGCAATTTTCCCAGAAAAATCTGTTGCTAAATACCTAATGCACTTCTGAATTTTGTTTCCTTCCTCTGTCCTGTACTTCTTCATTAGTCAAAATGAATCTGTGGTATCTAAATGCGCTTCTGTTTTTGAGTCAAGTCTCTTGAAAAAGGGACCCTGACAAGGTTTCCTGTTGGGTATGTTTTGGAGCTGAGGCCTTCTGAGAAACTGAGGCATCATGAAGACCCCCTCTTCAAACCCTGATTCTTGCGATCAAGTCAGAGAGATTTCAGACATGTCACTCAGCCTAACAGGAATGAGTTTATTGAAAGGATAGGAAAAAGGAGGGGAGTGGGTCCTTTCAGAAAGGAAAGGGACAATTTGCCTCTCCTGTACTCCAATTTTATTCCCAGAGAAGTTTCCAGAGAGTTCTGCCCAGGTCTACCTCTTGACTTTTGACTGACAGCAGAGTGACATCAGACTTTCAAGTTCCCACTGCCATGGCAACTCTAGGTCACCTTGGCCCATGCTGACCAGTTCTAATTGGATTCTTAACCATACATTCTTACAGACTTTATCCTTAGGAGAAACTACCCTTATCTCTTAGAGTTTCACAATCTGATCACAAAAGTCTCTTCCTTCAGGGTGTCTCAGGTTCTTCTCATCAACATTAATTTGGACATGCATTTCTCCTGCAGTAAACAGGTAGTTTGCTGAAAAATGTGACATAGCCTGTCCACCGAGGTCAGGCAGGGCTGCAGGCAAATTGCCTCTTGGAAAAGAAAGCATGTGGGGGGTCAGCACAGTGGGCCCATCTTACAGAATTATTCTCTTAGCCTCATGTTCCCACCATTCAGGTCTGTCTGTCCCCTAACAGGTACAGGTAAACAGTCACTGAAAACACATTCAGCATTAAGAGAATTCATTAAAAGAATGTTTCTCCAACAACTCTGCCCTTTTTATTTAATAGATTCTTCATGGTATATATGGGGGTTCTTCAGTTCTTAGTCACAAATAGGTATATATAAGCTAAATAATCAATAACATGAATTTAATTTTCCTCAGGGAGAACATTTTGTGAATTCCTGGGTTAAAAGAGAATTGCTTATGGCATCAGGTAAAAACTCAGAAATATTCCAAAGGCTTTGCTTGTTTATTTCTTCTTTGGCATTTTGATTCCCATCATTTTTTTTTAAACTCTCCAGCTCCTCATTTTACAGCACTTTCTCCCCACCCCCACCCCCCATTTTCCCCTCCCTGCCCTCCCCTCTCTTTGTGGTACTGGGGATTTTACCTAGGGTCACTTAACCACTGAGCTATATCGCCAGCCCATTTTTACATTTTGTTTTGACACAGGGTCTCACTAAGTTGCTTAGGGACTTGCTAAATTGCTGAGGCTGGCTTTAAAAACTCGGGATACCTCCTTAATTTTTTTTTTTTTTTTTTTAGTTGTAGATGGACACAATAACTTTATTTAGTTATTTTTTATGTGGTGCTGAAGATCAAACGCAGCGCCTCACGCATGCTAGGCAAGCGCTCTACCACCGAGCCACAACCCTAACCCCTTAATTGTCTTTTTATTTCTATTTTTTTTTTTAGTTATAGATGAACATAATATATTTATTTTACTTGTTTATTTTTATGTGGTGCTGAGGATCAAACCCAGTGCCTCACACGTGCAAGGCAAGCACTCTGCCACTGAGCTACAGCCCCAGTCTCCCTTAACTGTCTTTTAAGAATCATTTTCATAAAGAGATTTCTGCGCTTATAGAGTAACTGGGTTTAGTATAGATGAACGTAGGGAAATACAGTAGGATTTGTTCCTTAATTGCCATTTCCTTGAAAACAACTGAATTTCCAGATAAAATGTCTTGAAATCATTTTTAAGTAGCTCAATGTGCTTTTAAGAAGTTAGAGCCAGGCATGGTGGCACACACTATAATCCCAGTGACTGGGGAGGCTGAGGCAGGAGGATCACAAATTTGAGGCCAGTCTCAGCAATTTAGCAAGGCCCTGTCTCAAAATAAAGAATAAAAATGGCTGTGGAGGGCTAGGGCTATTGCTCAGCGGCAGAGCGCTTGTGTGAGGCACTAGGTTCGAATCTCAGAACCACATAAGAATAAACAAAATAAAGGCATTCTGTCCATCAACAACTACAAAAAAAATTTTTTTTAAATGGCTGTGGATGTAACTCAGTAGTAGAACACCACTGGGTTCAATCCCCAGTATCAAAAAGAAAAAAAAAGTTAAGGAATATTCATATTAAAAGTGAAGTAACAGTAAGAACCCAAGAGTTAAGTGGAACACTGGAGCAAGCTTTCGTTTTAGGAAATTTGCAGAACAAAGGTAATATAAACTTATTTTTCAAAACCTCTCAGCATGCTAAAGATAGGAATCAAAGGTCAGGGCTAGTCTGAGGCAGAAAGTCCAAAGGAGACTACCAAGAGTGTATATCCCAAAGAGCAAGAAATAAAACTGCCTGTTCTTAAGAGAGCTTACAAGGAAAACCATCTTTTTAAAATCTTGACACTGACTTTGGAAGGAAGGAAATCTACTCGAGCTTTTTCTTATTTTATTCTGGTGTTAGATGATGAAGAAATAATTTTAAAATATATCTTACTATATAAAATTTCAAACATATACAGAAATTAGACAACTGAATTTATACTCATGCAATATCCAACATTCTGCTTCAGCCATTCTTATGTGATAGTCTTGCTTCATCCACATCACGTCTGCCTTCCTAACCAACCCCATTATTTTGAAACAAACTCAACATGTCAGATCAATCCTTCTGTAAATATGGAGGGATAACTTGAATTTTGCAATATCAAAGCTTGCTGGTCTCACCCTTTCTTTATTCTAGCTTATTGCAATGACAGTGTCTTTGCTAATGAAGAACTACGGCTGGACACTTTTAAGAAATGGCCCCACAAATCAGGTCTGAAAACTGCAGCTTTGGCTAGAGCAGGTCTTTTCTACACAGGTGAGTCGGTGGTTGGTACCTTCTCGCTTCTTCGACCATTTAAATCCCAAATAGACCTTATGATTCTAGACTTGCTATCCCTTTTCTGCATCATTCCTTCCAGATTACTTTCCTTGCTCATCATAAATCTCTCTCAGTTTTCCCTACTTCCCTTAGGAGGTAGAACCTTGAGGTCCAGATTAACAATGAATAGAAGTAGTCTGGGATAATTATTGCATCTTTTCCTTTCTATATATTACTTTCCCCAGCCCCAGGAGACTGTCAGAGAACACTTTTGCTTATTATTCTTTAACCACAACTTAGGTGGACATAATTTCCTGTAAGAGGGGCTAGGAAACTTAATATTTGTCTTGGATAGCAATGTGCCTGGCTAAGAATTGAAGTTTCTATTTCTATGGGAGAATGGGAGAGACTGGGAATATGAAAAGCAATCTTGGCTACACTCTGCTTGGAAAAGAAAATCAGGAAATTCATCTGCATGATTTGGAAGCATGAAGAATCTTCCACCAGTTCCTTGTATTCTCTAGCTTGTGGTCATCAGGCAGCTCCACTCTGTAATCCACAAAGCTTTTTGCCCTCAGTCAAATTTTTGCCTGAGGGACAACAGGGGGAATAGGGTAAGACTATTCAACCTTTCCTAGGTACCTTGCTGGTCTTCCTCAGACCAAGTGTACCCGAGTTACAGCAGAATTTTATTTAACTGTTTAGCTAAAAGATTTTAGGTATCACAAATATAAAAGGACAGCTCAGACAGGGTAAAGTGACTGTCACTTTATCTAACAGACATATTTCATTGGCATGAAAAATCTCAATGCTGGGCTGGGGTGAGCTCAGTGGGAGAACATTTGCCTAGCATGTGTGAGGCACTGGGTTTGATTTTCAGCACCACATATAAATAAATAAAATAAAAGGCCATCAACAACAACAAAAAAAATCTCAATGCCTCACAATTTTAAACCTTTGGAAGGAGTGTTTACCCTTTCTTCCTACTCACCCTATTATGTTTTTCTCTGGCCAGTTTCCCTCAAGCTCCCCGCTGTCCAGGATGCTCACCCTCTTCCTTTTCAAACTCAGTCATCTGGCCCTTTTAGGATCCTTCAAGCTCTAGGACCTCATACTTTTGGCCAGACATAAAGGGAGGCTTTTCTTTGCCCCAGAGTCCAAGAGTGAAAGGAAAGTTTTAGAGGCTTCATTTCCAAGGGTTCATTTCACTTGGCAAATCCAAATACTAATTTCCTTCCAAAGAAATATAGACTCGTAGGAAACTTGGTCCTATTCTAGAAGAATACATTTGACAATAATTTCCTTATTTTTCCCACTGAGCTCCAAATATATTCTTTCTTTCTAATTTATTTATTAAACAAATACAGTTTGCCCAAGAAGTGCTAGGCACTCTTTCAGGTTCATGAGAAGCAAAACAGACAAAAATCCCCTTGTGGATCTTGAATTCCAGATTCTGATTGCAAATCTCTCTGTTGATAGGAGAATGGGGCCGGGAGAGGTTGTTCATCAAAGTGCATAGGAGCATCCAGTGACTACCCCACTTCTGACGGGGGACCAAGAGTCCTTCCTATACAGAATATTGCCTTGCGGGTGACTCAGCTTAGGACTTTTCCACAAAATCCAATTAGAGGAGAATCAGATTTTGCTAATAAAATCTGATGGTTATTATCTGGTCAGTTGATGAATGCACACAACAGTGACACTGATCAAGTTTTCTTCCTTCCAGGTGTAGAGGACATTGTTCAGTGTTTTTCCTGTGGAGGATGTTTGCATAACTGGAAGGAAGAGGATGACCCATTAGAAGATCATACCAAACATTTTCCCAAGTGAGCAAAATGAATGTTTAGTGTCTATGACTTTGAGTGCACTTTAATGATTTCCCCCTTATTATATCTATGGATGAAGTGTTTAGTTTCTTCTCTGATTCAGACGATAAGGACGTGTCTTCATGTCTTTCATCCCTTTGTTACCATGACACTTCCTGTCTATCTTTCCTCTCATTATAGTTATGTCTTGGTTTGGGTTAGATCAATATATATATATTTTTTTGTGTGTGTGGTATTGGGGATTGAACCCATGTCCTTGTCCTATCTACAAACTGAACTATATCCCCAGCCCAGATCGATATTTTTTAAAAAATATTTTTAGTTGTAGATGGACACAATACCTTTATTTAATTTATTTATTCTTTTATGTGGTGCTGAGGATCGAACCCAGTGCCTTACTTGTGCCAGGCGAGTACTCTACCACTGAGCCACAACCCCACCCCAGATCAATATTTTTATTTTACATGTTTACTTTATTATAACTATGTAAATACAATGCAGAGCTAAAGCTTGTAATAAATTGTGGCATTTTTTTTCCTTTCCTGTCATTTGCCCCTACTCCCAGTACTAAGGATTGAACCCAGGGCCTAGCACAAAATAGACACATCCTCTGCCGCTGGGATATATTTCCAGTCTTTTTTTTTTTTTAATTTTTTAAGACTAAGTTGCTGAGGCTGGCCTGCAATTTGTGATCCTCCTGCCTCAACCTCCCAAGTAGCTAGATTTATAGGTGTGCACCACCAGGCCTGGCACGTACATCATTTTATGTAGGAAGTAATAATTGCCTTAAGAGGATGTTTGTATATTTTTTGAAGTAAAATCCACATATTAACCATTTAAAAATATTTTAGTTGTGGATGGACGAAATACTTTTGTTTTATTCATTTATTTTTATGTGGTGCTGAAGATCAAACCCAGTGCCTCAAACATGCTAGGCGAGCGCTCTACCAGTGAGCTACAACCCCAGCCCCACATTAACCATTTTTTAAATGCACAGTTCAGTGGTGTTTAGTACATTTACAATATTGTGCGATCATCTTCTTAACTCCAAAACATTTTCATCAACCCAAAAGAAAACTCTACTCATTAAGCAGTCACTCCTCATCTTTCCGTGCTATTCCATGCCACACCTTTGATAGACACCAATCTGCTTTGTGCCTCTGGATTTACCCCAGGTAGACATTTCACACAAATGGAAGCATGCGATATGCTTCCATGCTGTGTCTGGTGTGTTTCTTTCTTTGTTATATTTATTTTATTTATTTATTTTTTATGTGGTGCTGAACATCAAACTGAGTGCCTCCCATGTGCTAGGCCACAACCCCAGCAACAACCACTACAACAACCCCAGCCCCCTGGCTTCTCTCACTTAGCATATTTTTTGGAGGTTTATCCATGTTCTAAAGCGTATCAGTATTTTATTCCTTTTGAAGCCAAATAATATTCTATATGGATATACTACATTTTATCTATCCATCCACTGGTTCTTAGACATTTGAGTTGTTTCTACCTTTTGGTTTTTATGAATAGTGCTACTACAAAGTGGAAGATACTGTTTGAGAACCTGTATTCAATGCTTTTGGGTATAGAGGAGTTGAATTGCTAGATTATATGGTAATTCAATTTTAGCTTTTTGTCAAACTGTTTTCCACCATTTTAATTTCTTATCAACAATATATGAAGGCTCCAAATTCTCTATAGCCTCATCAACACTTATTTTCCGGTTTTTTTTTTTTTTTTTTTTCAGTTATCTTACAGCTATTTCCTTAGCTTTTTATGCAGTTAGCACCAGTTCATCTTCAAATTCTCCCAAGTGTTTAGATATCTTCTCAGTCATTCTAATCTATCAAATATCTCATCATTTTCATCTCCTTGAAGGAGTTTCTCCCAGAATGTCTTGACTTGCTGCAGTATGAACTACTTATCCTATAGTCATCCTGGGATCCTGGGATCTTCATGATCATCCTGGACATTCCTCTCCTGTGTTGTTTCTGTTTCCTGGATCTAATCTCATTCTCTTCTTGGTTTACTTTCTCATTTTGGAGGACTACTCAGCCACAGTACTCTTGGAAAGATTGTGTAAGAGATATATGATTTTAGTTTGAATATAACACATATATTTTAATGGGTGTATCTATTTTCCCCTACTCTCACAATTTTTGGTAATTTAGTTAGGTATAGGATTCTAGACTGGAAGCTATTTTGTCTCAGTTTTTGGTACTGGGGATTTACCCCAAAGGAAATTTACCACTGAGCTATTTGACTGTTTTTTTCCCACTAATGTCTTTTTTTTCTTTCATACATCACAATAGTGGAATGCATTACATTCATAATAATTCATTCACAACACAATTTTTCATAATTCTGTATATAAAGTATGTTTATGCCAAATTATGACATTATACATGAGCTCTCTTATTGATTTTTTTGCATTACAATTCTTTTTTTATTATTTTTTAGTTCTTGGTGGACACAACATCTTTATTCTTTTTTATTTTTATGTGGTGCTGAGGATCGAACCCAGCGCCCCGCGCATGCCAGGCGAGCGCACTACTGCGTGAGCCACATCCCCAGCCCCTGCATTACAATTCTTAATACTCCTTTATATACAATTTATCATATCTCTGTTTGTATAAGGTATGTTGACACCAAATTCACATCTTCATACATGTATTTTGTATAATGATAACCATCTCTTTCCACCATCCTTGTTGTTCCCCTTCTCCCTCCCTTTCTCTCCCACCCCTATTCCTTATCTAGATGTAATCTTCCTCCCCTGCTCTCCCTCCCTATTCCACTTTGAGTCACCCCCCTTATATCAGAGAAAACATTCAGCATTTGTTTTGGGGGGATTGGCTAACTTCACTTAGCATAATCTTCTCTAATGCCATCCATTTCCCTGCAAATGCCTTGGATTTGTACATGTAGCTTTCTCTAATTTTGATTCTTTAAATTAATCCTAGTTGGTTTTATGGATGAACATTAAATATACACTCATCCCACCAAATTCCCTGGCTTTACAAACTATGTACATTTCTATTGCTGAAAGCCACAGTCTAAATGTCTTATGTGTTTATGAAACTGACAGAGTCACCGAAAATGTTAGTTTTATACTTAATTCTTGTCATTAAAACTCTGCTTTTCAAAAGTATAATATGCCAGGTGCAGTGGCACACACCTGTAATCCCAGCAGCTTGGGAAGCTGAGGCAGGAGGGTTCATGAGTTCAAAGCCAGCCTCAGCAAAAGCGAAGTGCTGAGCAATTCGGTGAGACCATGTCTCTAAATAAAATCCAAAATAGGGCTGGGGATGTGGCTTAGTGGTCAAGTACCTCTGGGTTCAATCTCTGTATCTCCCCCCAAAAAAGTGTAATGCAAGTGTTTAATTAGAGCAACTCTTGTGTAACTTATACCTTTTATGCTTAGTTGTCCATTTCTCCAAAATATGAAGTCCACTGCAGAAGTGATTCCAGACCTTCAGAGCCATGGTGAACTTCCTGAAGTAATGGTAATGAACACCTGTCTACTTCAGCAGTCTGTGATCATGTGATTGAAAACTGTTTTGAAGAGTAATTGCTCATTATAAATAAGTAAATAAATAAATTCCATGACTATCTACTAAGCCCCTATCAAGTGCTAGGTGCAGATGGGGATACCACGTAAACCAGGATGGTACAATTTCTAGCTTCATGAAAGGTACAATCAGTTCCTTCTACTTTGGGGCTCAGACTCTTTCAGACTTAAGAGTTGATCAGCTCCAAGCTAAATGGATCTCACCTGTGATCTTCATTTGGCAAATAGTAAGGCCTGACTTCCTACTTGGCCTTTTTTAGGAATGAATGCCCAGCAAAATCATAAATCCAGATAATAGGTTGACCCCCTTAAACTGAGAAATCCTATTAGTTCTCTGAGATATAAGCCAACTATCAGTTTGATAGATAACAAACACATACCACCTTATTTTGGACTGTTATGTTTGTCATCCCACAGAAAGAAAACAAAGCAATTTTCTGTTCACTTGGTATGTCTTTAATATTTGAGAATTAAAAATTGACAGTGAAACCAGGTATGTTGGTGCCTGCCTATAAATCCCAGCTACTTGGGAGGCTTAAGCAGGAGAATCACAACTTTGAGGCCAGCCTGGGCAGCTTTGAGACCTATTTCAAAATAAAATTTAAAAAAGGTCTAGGGATATAGTTCACTGCATGTGCAAGGTCCAGGCTTTAATCTCCAGTACTGCAAACAAACAATAAAATCTAATTCAAAATGGCATTGAAGCTGGGCGTGGTAGTGCAATCCTGTAATCCCAGGGGCTCTGGAGACTGAGGCAGGAGGGTCACAAGTTCAAAGCCAGCCTCAGCAACTTAGCAAGGCACTAAGCAATTATTGAGACGCAGTTTCTAAATAAAATACAAAATAGGGCTGGGGATGTGACTCAGTGGTCGAGTGCCCCTGAGTTCAATCCCTGGTACCCGTCCCCTGACCCCCGCAAAAATAACATTGTGATCATAAGTGGGTGTTTAAGTGTGATGATTGGGTTTTTATGCCATTTTGTGAGATGTGTCTCCCTCAAACCTTGTTACAATGTCTGTATGTTACCCATTTGATGTAAAAAGGTGAAGGGTGTGACATTGAAGCTGGTCATGGTGGTCCAAGTCTGTAACTCTAGCAACTCAGTAGTCTAAGGCAGGAGAATCACAAGGTTGTGGCCAGCCTCGGGAACTTAGCAAGACCCTGTCTCAAAATTAATTAATTAATTAATTAATAAAGGGCTGGGACAATGGCTCAGTGGTAAAGTTCCCCTGTGTTCAATCAACTGTACCACAAAAAAATAAAAATTTTTAAAAAGTGGCATTGAAGAAAAAATTTGGAGACATATAAATAGGTTATTCTTACTTTTTTTTCTTTTCACACATGCTAAACAAGTTCTCTGCCACTGAGCCATACCCCGAGCCCCTTTTAAAAATAGCTCATTTTTTAAAAAATATTTTCTTTGTTGTAGATGGACACAATATCTTTACTTACTTATTTATTTATTTTTGTTTGGTTCTGAGGATCAAACCCCGTGCCTCACACATGCAAGGCAAGTGCTCTACCACAGAGCTATAACCCCAGCCCCAAATAGTTCATTTTTAAAAGGAAGAAACATACATTCCAGGTGTGTAATAATAAACATATATTTATTAACTAAGGACAGAGGCTGCACCTCAGGGTTCTTCTTGCTCTAAACATTATTATAGATTCTGATTATCTTAAAAGTATTCACCATGGAATGTACCATATATATATCATTGTTATGTTTGTTTATATGAAGTATCCCCCAAGATTCATGTGTTTAAGGCTTAGTCTTCAATGTGTTGCATGTACTTTGCAAAGTACAGAGGTGGAGCTTTTGGGAAGTGATTGGATCATGAAGGCTCTGACCAAATTAATGGATTAATGCGTTGATGGACTAATAGTTGGATGGCATTATTGAGAGGTGATGGAAACAGTAGGAAGTGGGGCCTACTTGGTGGAAGTAGGTCACTAGGAGCATGCCTTGGAAGGGTATATCTTGTCCCTGGCCCCTTCCTCCCTCTCTCTGCTTTGTGGCTGTCACAAGATGAGCAGCTTTCCTCCATCATGTCCTTCTGCCGTGATATTTCTGCCTTGGAGCTGGTCAGCTCTGGAAGACTGAAGCTGGTCAGACTGAAGCTTCTGGAACTGTGAGCCAAAATAAATCTTTCCTCCTCCAAGTTTTTTTAATCAGATAGTTTTTCCCGGTGACGGAAAGCTGACTGACACAGTCGTCTAAGAACACATGTACAATCTTGCAGATGTTTGCAAATGGTTAATTATTTTGCATTTAGAGCACTCCTTTTAGCATAAACATTTGAAGATGGGCTGTGTTTAGAAGATGTTGGATCCTCAATAATAATATGATGTCCCACTCTCTTATGCAAATTTTTATTTAATAAAGAATTTTCTTTTTTGAAGGAAACTACAACCGAAAACAATCTTGACTATTCAGAAGCAGTTAATTCTATAGGGCCAGGTAAGAACTTGGAAGTAAAATGTTTATTTAGGAGGTAGAATAATAATAGTTACTCATTGATAATATATGTACTTGAGGCTTAGTTGATTAATTCCTATTTAATCATCACAATAATCCCTATGATGTAAGTATTATTATTAGTTTCAGGAAACAGACGCAGAAAGGTGAGATAATTTATCTAAGATCAGAAAGGCAGTAATAAGTAGCAGAGCTAGAACCGGCCCATGCATTGTGTTTCACTAAACCAATATGCTCTGTTGCCCCTCTCCATGGTAGAATTGGACAATTTAAGCAGGAATCCTATCTGAACTCCTTAGTTTTTAATTTCAAACCATTTAGAACTTCATATCTCTCATCTATGAAAAGGTGATACCATCTCCTGGAATAATCGTGGTAAGGATTAAGTGAGAATGCATGTAAAGCATGTCTTTACTAATCATAGAATGGGTCTTGGTACTCATAAATGAAAGAATGCTAACGAAATACAATCATTAATTCCAAAGTTGCCAGGTAATCGTGGAATATAATGTCAAGTGTGTTCTAGACAACAAGCTGTTCTAGATTTATTCTAAAGGTCCAATAATAAAAGACTAAGTAAATTAAAAAAAAACTTGGAAGCAGCACATGGGATTATATGTATGTGTAAATATATTTGTATGCAAAGATTTGAAAGAAAAAAGTATTTGTGGAGCTGGGGTAGAGTGCTTACCTCACATATATGAGGCACTGTGTTCAATTCTCAGCACCACATATAAATAAATGAATAAAATAAAAATGTCCATCAACAACTAAAAAATATTAAAAAAAAATTTGTAATTGTCCAAAGATCTCATAGATCAGAGCAGCACTGAAATGGAGACTATTGTATATTGAGAGAGACTCAGGGTTCTTCTGGCATTTCCAGAGTGAATGCAGGACTGAATCCATGGTAATCAATGTGTTTCAGATACAAACTAATGTTGAAAGGCACCACGCAGCAAGTTTCTCTCCTGAGGTTTTAAAATGGGAAAGTATAGAATTCCAGGATGCTCCTAATAAGCACATTTCTAGGTCCCCATGTCAAGTAGGGTACTGGGGTTCATGCTCCCCACATTCTGGTTTCATGGAAAAAGCTAGAAGAGAATCCCAAACTGGGGATCATGGATAGCTGTGGAAGGTCCTAGTCCATCTGTAGTAGATAGGCAGAATCATGGTGTGGAAAGAATATGGTATTAGGATTGAGAGAGATGTGACTGTGAATCCCAGCTGTGCCTCCCTTCTCTCCACAGAAGTGGCACAGGACAAAACCCAATGGTTTCAAGAGGCAAAGAATCTGAGTGAGAAACTGAGAACAGTCTACACCAGTGCCAGTTTCCGCCGCATGTCTTTGCTGGAGCTCTCTTCCAAAGTAGCCACTGACCACTTGCTGGGTTGTGATCTGTCCATCATTTCAAAGCATATCAGCAGCACTGTGCAAGAACCCATGGTGTTGCCTGAGGTCTTTGCCAACTTGAACTCTGTAATGTGTGTGGAAGGTGAAACTGGTAGTGGAAAGACGGTCCTATTGAAGAAAATAGCTTTTCTCTGGGCATCAGGATGCTGTCCTCTGCTGAACAGATTCCAGCTGGTCTTCTATCTCTCCCTTAGTTCTACCAGACCAGACCAGGGGCTGGCCAGCATCATTTGTGACCAACTCCTAGAGACAGAAGGAACTGTTACTGAAATATGCCTGATGAACATCATCCAGCAGTTAAAGAATCAGGTGTTATTCCTTTTGGATGATTACAAAGAAATGTGCTCATTCCCTCAAGTCATAGAAAAGCTGATTAAAAAAAACCACTCATTAAGATCCTGCTTGTTGATTGCCATCCATACAAACAGGGCCAGGAACATCCGCCGATACTTAGATACGATTCTAGAGATCCAAGCGTTTCCCTTTTATAATACTATCTTTCTATTACGGAAGCTCTTTCCACATAATATGACTCGTCTGCGAAAGATGATGGTTCACTTTGGAAAGAATACAAATTTGCAGGGAATTCAGAAAACTCCCCTCTTTGTGGCAGCAATCTGTACTAACTGGTTTCAGTGTCCTTTTGATCAGTTCTTTGATGATGTGGCTGTTTTCAAATCCTATATGGATTACCTTCTTTTAAAGCACAAATCTACAACTGAACGTTTCAAAGAAATTATATCTTCCTGCAGTGAGCTGGCCCTGAAAGGATTTTTTTCATCTTGCTTTGAGTTTACTGACAATGACCTCGAAGAAGCAGGGGTTGATGAAGATGAAGATCTAACCATGTGTTTGATGAGCAAATTCACAGCCCAAAGACTGAGACCAGTCTATCAGTTTTTAAGTCCTACATTTCAAGAATTTCTTGCTGGGATAAGGCTGATTGAACTCCTGGATTCAGACAGGCAGGATGATCAAGATTTGGGACTTTATTATTTGAAACAAATTAAGTCATCCATGATGGCTGTATTTCCCTATGAGAATTTTTTGAAATATGTCTCCAGCCACCCTTCATCAAAGGCAGGGCCAAAACTTGTATCTCATTTGCTTCATTTGGTGGATAATAAAGAATCATTGGAAGATATGTCAGAAAATGATGACTACCTGAAGCACCGTCCAGATATTTCAACATATATGGAATTTCTTAGGGTGATATGGCAACTGGCTCCAAACACTTACTATTCACTGGTTTCAAAACGGTTATTGGCTCTTGCTCTAAAAATTGCTTATCAAAGTAACACTGTTGCTGCATGTTCTCCATTTATTTTGCAATTCCTTCAAGGGAGAACACTGACTTTGAATATACTTAATTTACAGTACTTTTTTGACCACCCAGAAAGCCTGTTGTTGTTGAAGAGTATTGTTGTCTCCATACAAGGAAAGAAAAGGAAAAATTTCCCAAAATTTTCATCCCTGGAAAAATGTTGGGAAATCAACAAATCACAGGTACCAACTATAGATCAGGACTATGCTTCTACCTTTAAACCTATGAAAGAATTTGAGGAAAATGTAGCTGAACAGGAAGAGACCATAAACAGCTTTCTGGATTTACAACACAGGGCGCCACCAGACATCAGTGCTGGCTATTGGAAACTGCCTTCCAAGCAGTACAAGATTCCCCTGCTGGAAGTCCAGGTGACCTGTGTGGATGCTGTGGATCAGGAGATGCTCAGGGTTCTAATGGAAGTTTTCTCAGCTTCACAGCACATTGAACTCCATTTAGATCATAGCAGTGGCTTTATTGAAAGCATCCGCCCAGCTCTGGAGCTAAATAAGACCTCTGTCACCAAGTGCTCTATACACCAGTGTGAACTCTGTGCCCCAGAACAGGAGTTGCTTCTCACCCTGCCTTCCCTGGAATCTCTTAACATCTCAGGGACAATCCAGCTACAAGGTAAACCTAAATGGATTTGGGGTGACTGTTCCAATGTGACACTTTATTTCTTCATTCTTAGTTTTTAGGTAGATGAAAATTTCTGAGGGCATGAGACCAAAAATGTTCCTTGATAGAATGGCATAAAATAAGCTTTGAGTCTGTAATTAATGAAAGACCCCTGAAAAATAGAACGGTTTTCAGATAACTGAGATAAAATTAACAAAATAAGATGGGTGTAGTGGCCCATGTCTTATAATCCTAGTGACTCTGGAGGCTGAGGCAGAAGGATCACACCTCTGAGGCCAGTCTGGGAAATTTAGGAAGCCTCTGTCTCAAAATTAAAAATGAAAAAGGATGGCAATGTACCCTCTCTCCAGTACCCCTGGTTTCAATCCCCAGTTAAAAAACAACAACATGGAGCTGGGGTCATGGCTCAGTGGCAGAGCACCTGCCTAGAATGTGTGAGGCATTGGACTCCATCCTCAGAACCACATATAAATAATAAAAAATAAAGGTACATCAACAACTGCCGCAGTCTGGCTGGGCACAAATGCCGCAGTCTGGCTGGGCACACAATCACGAGCCACCACACAGCTTGTAGATTCAAACAGCAACTCTTTATTCTCGAACTGTCACCGGCACTTTACAAACACGTTCTGGGGAAATCCATGTTCTCTGCCCAAATTCACATTCTCTGCCCAAATCCACACCACTGGGCTTCTGTCTCCCAAAAAATACTGTCTGAATCCCGTGAGAACTCAAGGGGAACTCAGGCAGCAGGATACGCCCTATTCCCAGCAGGAATAATCTTAAACCTGGAACGCCCTAAACCCGATTATCCTAAACGGGAACACCCTAATCCCGGATCCGCCCTGGTCCTTGAGCAAGGTCACCTAACTGCAATGTCACTGCAAAATGTCCTATTTCCACGAGTCCTTCCACTAAGCAACATGGGGTACGCTGGCAAGGAAATTGTCATACCTACTTGGCTAATGGCTCCCAGCAAACAACTAAAAAATATTTTTAAAACAACATTAATATCAATATTTAACTAGTGACTTCTCTTTGTAAACAGATGTGAATTACTTGTTATTAGCAAATAATGATCTATATATTAAATGATGCTTAAAAATTACCTTCATGCTAACTACCTGATGGAAAAAAGTGCTTGGCTTCTCCAGAAAAGAAAAGGATAAACAGGAAATAATGTCTCTCATACATTTGTGTCTTCTAAGCAACATATGATCATTTTAGCGTAAACATTGTCTACCTCTCCTTAAATTTATTTCTTTGTACATTATATTTTTTGATGTCATTGTAAATGGCATTTAATTTTTTTTTTCATTTTCTAATTGTTGCCGCTCTTAACTTTGACTTTCAACAATCTGACGTATATCTAGTTGTGCTTTGCTTTGCGTATGTCTTACTTGAGGGTCATTCAGCTTTTTTTTTAATTCTGTGGGTTGATATTTATCATTAAATTTAGAAATAGTTTGACTATTAAAAATGTTTTTACTATGGTAAAATATATATAATAAAATTTTCCATTTTAACAGGGTTTTTTTGTTTGTTTGTTTGGTACTGGGGATTGAACCTAGGAGGGTTTAACCACAGAACCACATCCCCAGAACTTTTTATGTTTTATTTTGAGACAGGGTCTCGCTGAGTTGCTGAAAGCCATGCTAAATTGATGAGGCTGGCCTCAAACTTGTGATCCATCCTCCTGCCGCAGTCTCTGGGGTTACAAGCATGCACCACCCTGGTTCTGTTCTGTTCTTTCTTTCTTTTTCTTTTCTTTTCTTTCTTTCTTTTTTTTTTTTTTTTTTTTTGCTGCAGTACAGGGGGTTGAACCCAGTGGTACTTAACCACTGAGCTATTTTCCAGCATACAACCTTGCTTTTTTTCTTTGTTTCTTTTTTTTTTTTTTTGCCTCCAGACACAGATTTATTTAGGATAGCAGTTACACATTTAAGTGAGAATGCAGTCTATGTCAAGGGAGAGATGTCTTTTAGGGGTAAAGTAAAAAGTACACATTCAAGGGAGAATACCAGTCATCTTAAGAGTGAGCAGTTTGGGGGATAAAGAAGGAACACACATTCAAGGAAGGATTTGGGTGATCTCCAAAGGGAGAGACAGCCTTTGCTCTTTTTTTATTTTGAGACAGAGTCTCACTAACTTGTCTGACTGACCTTAAAATTGCTATCCTCCTGCCTCACATTGTTGAGTAGTCAGGATTACAGGCATGTGCCACTGAGTCCAGCCCCTTTATTTCTTTTTGTAGCTGAATGATATTCATATATGTAAAATGAAGGTCCAATATATATATATCACATTTCTTTTTTTTAAGCTTTTTTAGTTGTCAATGGACCTTCATTTTATTTATTTCTATGTGGTGCTGAGAATCGAACCCAGTGCCTCACACATGCTAGGTGAGTGCTCTACCACTGAGCCACAATCCCAGCCCCTATATATCACATTTCATTTAGTCATTGCTCCCTTGATGGACGCTTAGGTGATTTCTGTCTTCTGGCTACTGTGAACAATGCTGCAATGAACATTAGTTTTACAAGTATCTGTTTGAGGCCCTGTTTTTTAATTGTTTTGAGTATATCCTATGGGTAGAATTTCTGCTTCATATGGTAATTCTGTTTAGCTTTTTGAGGAACTTGCAAACTATTCTTCAGTGGCTATACCATGTTATATTTCCACCAGTTATATGCAAGAGTTCTAATTTCTCCACATCCTCAGTTTTTCTTTTCTTTTTTTTTTTTTTTTTGCTAATCATAAAACCATCTAATAGATGTGAAATGTTATCTCATTGAGCTTTTGATTTGCTTTTTTTAATGACTGAATGATATTGAACATCATCTTTTCATGTTCTCATGATGGCTGTATCTCTTTTTTTGAGAAATGTCTAGTCAAGTTCTTTGTCCATTTTAAATTTTTTTGTTGATATTGTTGTTATGTTGTAGAAGTTCTATGTATATTCTGTATATCAAACCCTTATTAGAAATATGGTTTGAAAAATATTTTCTCCTATTCTGTAGATTGTAATTTCATTTTATAGTGTTCAGTGCACAAAAGTTTTAAATTTGATGAGGTCTAATTAATTAATTAATTGTTTTTCCCTAGTGCTTTTGATGTCATATCTAAGAATCCATTGCCAAGTCCAAGGTCATGAAGATTCACTCCTATGCTATCATCTAGGAGTTGTATGATTTTAGCTCTTATGTTTGCCATTGATCCATTTCAATGAATTTAATTTTTTTTTACATTCTCTTGCTTCTGCAAACTCAATTGTTCTCACACCAGTTATTGAGGAGATATTTTATTTATTTTTGTAAGTCCAGAGAGTCACACAGGGCTTCCCATATAGAATGTAATTAGTACAGGCTGCAGGTAGCAATGTCTGCATATGCATACTTTCTAAAAAAGAAAACTTAATGGTATCTGACAGGTTTTCATTTGAAAATGTGAAAATAGCTGATGAATCAAAATGAAAGTTTCTACATTTCTATTTGGAGCACTGTAATAATGAGAAATGTGTGCCACTTTCCAGATCAAATCTTTCCTAACTTGGACAAATTCCTGCACCTGAAAGAACTGTCTGTGAAACTAGATGACAAACCAAATACTTTTTCAGTCATTCCTGAAGAATTCCCAAACCTCCACCATATGGAGAAATTATTGATTCATATTTTAGGTGAAGATGATTCTTCAAAACTAGGTAAGCATGGCTCAATTTATTTGTCTTTGCATTGGTTAGAGAAACTACTTTTAATTTAAGAATTAAAACTTTTACAGGTATTAGAATTCCAGGACCTCCTGTTGATATCAAAATCAGAGGATGCTCAAGTCCCTCATTTAAAATGGTGTAGCATTTGCACATAACCTACACACATTTTCCTATGTACTTTTTTTTTTTTCAGAATTGTGGATGGGGCCCTCTCCCACTGAGGTATATCTATGGTAAATTGTGGGAATAGCACTCTTTCTCATTAAGAAAGCAGAGAGCTCTTTGTAATTACTGAGTGTTTACTACATTCTTGGAACTCTTCTAAGTACTTCACAAATTTTAACTTATTAAATCTTCATACCCATTCTGTGAGGTAAGGTACTATTATTATTGCCATTACAGCTGGGGAAATTGAAGCACAAAGAAGTTAAGTAATTTGCTCAAGTTCATACAGTTAGGAAACATAGATTGAAAGACAGAAAATTTGACTCCTAAGTCTGACCTTCTTAAACCTTAACATCCTGCCTTTCCAAATTAGTTTGTGGTTCTTTTATTTTGTTTCTGTTTAAGTTGTTCTTACATTGCACCTTACACATTTGCCAGCTCAGGGGGATGAATATGTAATTGATAGCATTTTCCTGTTGCTAGCCATCTTATTCTCATGGTTGATGGACAGTTTGTGCAACCTTCCTTTTAAAATACAATATTCGCAAAACGACTTAGTCACTATCAGTTCCTTAATTTAGTAAGTGCTGAACACTAAAGACTAAACAAATGTAAAGCTCCATATGAAATTGACTACAGAGTTACATGCAAAACTTCATTGAAATTGAAGCTGAAAGAGATAGTTTTCTTAAATTTGCCAGCAATTTTTGAATCAAACTTAGGTTTTTGCTTTAAAGTTGTCATCATTTTATGTTTCTTTGCATAGCATTTTTATTGTGTAAATGCAATGTACAAACTTAGAGACAGGATGTTAAAGCTGAAGGTGACCTTATGGAGTCTTTTGTTATGGTTGTTTTTGTTTTTAGTACCGCTGGGGACTGAACTCAGGGCCTTGCACCTAACTATGCAAGTACTCTTAACAACAGAGCTGTACCTCCAGCCTTTTTTTATTTTTTATTTTTTTTGAGACAGAGTCTCAGTAAATCTCTCAGGCTGGGCTTGTGATTCTCTTGCCTCAGCATGCCAAACAACTAGGATTACAGGCATGTGCCACACCATCTGGCTTCTGAACCCTAATTTTTTAGAAAAGAAAACTGATCCCCAGAGAGAGTCAGTAATTTGTCCAAGTTTAAATTGCTCATCAGTCAGTTGCAGAACTTAAATACAAGTCCAAAGCAACCTGATTCTTAGATCATTATATCATGGTGCCTTGTTTGAATTCAATATTGTTGGAACAAAACAATAAATTACAAGGCTGTTTTGATAGAAATTTGTAATTTGGGGCTGGGGTTGTGGCTCAGCGGTAGAGCACTTGCCTAGCACATATGAGGCCCTGGGTTCAATCCTCAGCACTACATAAAAATAAATAAATAAAATAAAGGTATTGTGTCCAACTACAACTAAAAAATAAAAATACTTAAAAAATTTTGTAGTTTCCTCTAATTTCTGAAAACCCTTGATATTTTACAGTCACATTGATTCAGAATTCTCCAAACCTTCGTGTTTTCCATCTGAAATGTAATTTCTTTTCGAATTTTGAGTCTCTCATGACTGCACTCACTTCCTGCAAGAAACTTGAAGAAATTTGGTTTTCTGAATCATTTTTTAATGTCATCCCATTTGGTAAGAACTATAAACTTAAAATTTTGATTTAAGATGTTTCTGTGGACTATCATATTAAAAGGCACTCTACAAAGTCAAAGTCACTATAAAAAGAGTCAATATCTTAAAATGCAGTTGATGTCAAGGAACATTTTATACTTGATCTTTAATGAATTTCTCAAATAATAAAGCTTAATTGTTTCTATAATTTTAAACATTTTTATTGTTTCCAGAATCGTTTTCTGAGCAAAGATTTGTATCCTCTTAGTCAAACTAATTCAGTCTGAATTATTTTATTAATGTTGATCACTTCTCAAATATTATTTAAAGATGTTACTCTTTGTTATAAGAAATATAAGTGATATAACTAAATTTTAATTTTCTCTCTCATAGTCACCATTTTGCCAAATTTTCTCTCTCTGAAGATATTAAATCTTTCATTCCAACAATTTCCAGACAAGGAAACATCTGAAAAATTTGGTATGTTTTCAAAGCAGTTCTTTTTACTTATTCCTTATTCCCTCCCTCTCTCAACCCCTTTCTTCTATTTTTAATTAGCTACAACAAAGCAAGATATGTACTGTTGTCCTTCAGTATCCACTAGATTGTTTCCAGGATCCCTGATTGATACCAAAATCAGAAGATACTCAAGTCCCTCATAATGGTGTAATGGTATAGTATTTGCACATAACCCACACACATCTTCCTCTTTCCCCCCACACCCCCAGTATTGGGAATTGAACCTAGGGGTCCTCTACCACTGAGCTATGTCCCCAATCCTTTTTGTTTTTTAAGACAGGATTATGCTAAATTGTTGGGGCTGGCCTTGAAATTGAGGTCTCCTGTCTTAACCTCCCAAGGAGTTGGGATTGTATGTATGCACCACCGTGCCTGGCTTCTATATACTTTAAATCAATTCTAGATCACTCATACTCCTTAAAATAATGTAAATGCTACGTAATAGCTGTTATGCTGCATTGTTTAGGGAATAATGATGTGGAAAAATTGTCTTGGAAAAATTCCTTGAATTTGTAATCTTCCTGCCTCTGCCTCCTGAGTTGCTGGGATTATGGGTGTGCACCACTGTGCCTGATTAAATATTTTAATTTTCTGTACAAAGAGCTAGTATGGGGCTGGAGATGTGGCTCAAGCGGTAGTGCCCTCACCTGGCATGCGTGCGGCCCGGGTTCGATCCTGAGCACCACATACAAACAAAGATGTTGTGTCCGCCGAATACTAAAAAATAAATATTAAAAAAATTCTCTCTCTCTCTCTCTCTTAAAAAAAAAAAAAAGAGCTAGTATGGTTCCTTTCAGTGGGCAGATGTCTTGGATAATCTATTCAAGGAAGATTACATAGTCTAACTAATGAAGACTATATCTTTGTGTGCTAGTGGTGTCGTTGGCAGTACATATTAAAGCTGTATTTTTGGATCAAACCTTGCTTGGTGTGAGCAAAGGATGAAAACCAGAACTGGGGCGGAATTTCTGCAGCTGGCTCGCATACAGCTGTGGGTGACCCATCCTGCTTTCAGAGACACAATGAGGCAAAAGGCCCAGATTTTGATTTCTAGTGATTTTTTGTTTTTGTTATGTTTTTTGGTTCTGGGGAAGGTCCTTACTGTGTCACTGAGCTACATCCTCAGCCCCCAGATCTTGATTTCTAAATTTTCTTTTCATAAAGGAACCACAGTCTATGGAGCAATGGGTCATTCAAGAACTGAAACTGGGAAAGCCTAGAAGTTTGTTTTATGCTAGAAAGTATTCAAAAAACTTTAATGCATAGAAAAATGTTTAAAGAGATTCACAATGTGGCATGCTAAGGAGGGGTCAAAGTGGAAATGAAGGTTATCAGAGTGGTAGATGGTGAGGTTTTAGTACTCAGTGTAAATTTCCTCAATGTGGAAATCATTGAAGATGATTTTTTTTCAGTGAGTATAGATGGGAAGAAAGGGAGTGGGATGGGAAGAAAGGGGGTTGAAAGCACTGCAGAGCTACCAGAGTAACCACAATTCACCGTAAAAAAGAAAATGGAAATATAATAGGCATCTTAGACTTCAGGACAGTAGAAACCGGTCAGGGGAGGATGGAGGAAGTGTGTGCTACCCCTTTTCTCGTTCCCATGGAGAGGATGAGGAATGGCCTTTACGCTACATGGAGTCTTCAGATGGTGCATGATTTTTTAAGTTACAGACTACTGATGTATAGGAATTAACTGTACAAAGAGAATAGCTTTTTTTTTTTTAATTTAATTTCTTCTGACAGCCTATACTTTAGGTTCTCTTAATCACTTGGAAGAGCTGATCCTTCCTACTGGGGATGGGATTCGTCAAGTGGCAAAACTGATTATCCAGCAGTGTCAGCAGCTTCAATGTCTCCGAGTCCTCTCCTTTTACCAAGTTTTGAATGATGACAGCCTGATGGAAATTGGTGAGCTATTCTTAGAGAAAGGATTTCAGCTCACAGGGAAGTGGGTGGGGGCGGGGGGCTACTCAAGCTTTCCGCTGCGAAGTATCTATAAACACATTTGCCTCTCCTGAAGTTTTCAACCTACTTCCTCACTCTTACTATCATATTGTTCCTTCCATGTCCTTCTGTGGATTTAAATTCATCCTAGTCAGATCTGGACGTTCAAGAATGCCTCCCTTTTGAAGCTATCCAAGCCTGCAAGTCTCTATTCTTTTGTTTGTGTGTGTGAGAGATACTGGGGATGAAGCCAGGGCCTCACACATGTGTGCTAGGAAAACACTCTCCCAATGAGCTACATCCCCAGGCATGTCTGTATTCTTGACAACTAATGTTTCAGACACCTGGCCAAATATTTTCAAAGTACTTTTTTTTTCAATTGAAGATTAATATACATACAGAAAGGTATAAAACTCTTTTAAGTATACAAATCAATGACTTTTCCAGTGAACATACTTGAAAATACCCATACCACATATGGGTAACAATGAAGCAGATTAGCACACAGAACATCAGGGCTGAGGGTGTAGCTCGGTGGTAGAGTGCTTGCCTGGCATGTGTGAGAACCTGGGTTCAAGCCCTAGCACTTCACACACACACACACACACACACACACACACACACATTTGGCTTATTATGAATAATGTCTCTATGAATATTCTTATACATGGCCACACATTTATTATGCCTGTTGCTCTTTATGGTCTCCTGTACTTCCTTTCATGAGGGGGTCACATTCCTTCTGTCTGAAGACCTCCTGTAATATCTCTTTTCCAGTGGGTTAGCTGGTAATGAACTGTCTTGTGTTTTGATTGTCTGGAAATGTTTTATTTTGCCTTCATCTTTGACATGTATTTTTTTTTTCAGGGAGTATAGAATTCTGTCTTGGCATTTATCTTCTCACCTTTCTAGCTTGCATTGTTTATTTTGTTTAATGAGCTGTCTGCTTTTATGTCATGTTATCTTTTCCCACTGTGGTGGATTTTAAGATTTTTTTTCTTTTAAAGAGTTGGTGTCTCACAAGCCAAGTACAGTGGTGCACACCTATAATCCCAGCAGCTTGCGAGGCGGAAGCAGGAGGATCAAAGTCAATCTCAGCAATTTAGCAAGGCCCTAAGCAACTCAGTGAGACCCTGTGTCTAAATAAAATACAAGAAAGGGTGGGGATGTGGATCAGTGGTCGAGTGCCCCTAAGTTCAATCCCCAGTACCCCTGCAAAAAAAGAGATGGTGTTTCACAGCTCAGTGTGGTAGTGCAGGTCTCTAATTCCAGTTACCTGGGAGGCTGAAGCAGGAGGATCACAGGTTTGAGGCCAGCCTCCTTAATTTAGCAAGACCTTGCCTCAAAATTAATTAATGTTTCCCAGCATCATTTATTAAAGAGGCTGTCTTTTCTCTTACATATTTTTAGGCACATACATACACACACAAAAAAAAACAAAACAAAAACAGATGACTGTAGCTGTGTGGGTTTATCTTTGACTTCTATTGTATTCCCCTGGTTTGTGTGTCTTTGTATGCCAATACCATGGTGCTTTTGTTACAATGGCTCTGTAATATAATTTGAAGTTGGGTATTGTGATACCTCCAACATCATTGCTTCCCCCCCTTCTCCTCTTCAATAATGGAGATTGAACCCAAGGGCACTCTACCACTAAGCTAAATCCCTATCCCTTTTTATATTTTGAGACAGGGTCTTGAACTCAGGGTCCTCCTGTCTTAGCCTCCTGAATCACTGGGATTGCAGGTATCATCATCATGCCCAGCTCCTGCATTGCTATTTTTGTTGAGAATTGCTTTGGCTATTCTGGATCTTTTGTTCTTGCATATGAATTTTCGGATTGCTTTTCCTAGTTCTGTGAAAAATGTCATTGGTATTTTAATGGGATTGCATTGGATCTATATATTGCTTTTGGCAATATGGCTATCTTTGGGGCTTTTAAAGAGATATTTAAAAATACACTATATTTGGCGGGCTGGGGTTGTGGCTCAGAGGTAGAGCGCTCGCCTGCCATGCGTGAAGCACTGGATTCGATCTTCAGAACCACATAAAAATAAAATAAAGATATTGTGTCCACCTATAACTAAAAGATAAACATTAAAAAATTATATTCAGCATTTCCTACCTTCATTATGATGGTGGTGGTGGGAGAGGAAGCTGATTTAAAAACCCTCATCTACCATCATTGAAATAGAAGTCCTTCTGATTCTCTTTTGTTTTTGTAGCCAAGGTTGCAATCAATGGAGGCTTCCAGAAGCTTGAGAACTTAAATCTTTCCATCAATCATGAGATTACAGAGGAAGGATACAGAAATTTCTTTCGGGCACTGGACAACCTGCCCAACTTGCAAGAGTTGACCATCTCCAGGCATTTCACAGCCTGTATCAAAGCTCAGGCCACCACTGTCAAGGCTTTGAGTCAGTGTGTGCTGCGCCTGCCACGCCTCACCAGTCTTCAAATGTTAAGTTGGCTCCTGGATGCAGAAGACCTTGCATTGCTTGATGCCATGAAAGAAAGACATCCTAAATCGAAACACCTGATTATTTCATGGAAATGGACACTGCCATTCTCTCCAATCATTCAGAAGTAAATAATTCAGCTAAGAACTGCTGATTCAAAAAATATTTAGGCTGGGCACAGTGGCACACATGTAATCTCACTGACTCAGGAGTTGAGGCAGGAGAATTGGAAATCAGAGGCCAGCCTCTGCAATTTAATGAGACACTGTCTCAAAATAAAAAGTAAAAAGGGCTGGGGATGTGGCTCAGTGGTTAAGTACCTCTGGGTTCAATCTCCGATACCAAAAACATAAAATAAAAATAAAAACCTAATTATCAAAACCATCTTTTTTGGGGGGGTGGTATCAGGGATTGAAGTCAGAGACACTCAACCACTGAGCCACATCTCCAGCCCTCTTTTGTATTTTATTTAGAGACAGGGTCTCACTGGGTTGCTCAGGGCCTTGATGAGGTGCTGAGGTTGGCTTTGAACTTGTGATCCTCCTACCTCAGCCTCTCAAGCTACTAGGATTACAGGCATGCACCACTGTACCCAGCATCTTATTAAGTACTGAATACTAAAGAATAATCATTAAATGTGTAAGACTTGTAATAATGATAATTTTAAAAGTCTGCTCACCCATTACTGAATCTAAGAAACAAATCATCACCAGTACCTATGCAGGCTCTGAATGATGCTCTCCTGCTATTGATTAGCTCTACAATCACTAATACAAAATGAACCCTCCACTGTCAAGGTCCACAAGGAGGGGGTGTGAAAGGCACACAATCTACCCCCACAATATGAAGAAACGTTCAATTTGGGTAAGAAGTGGCTAATTTAATAATTGAATTAGTTTCGCACAGAAATAAGACAAGACTTGACTTTAACACAGGATTCAGATGAATCTCTTCCAAGAGATATTTTTTAATCTTTGCAGGATTTCTTTTACATATTTAGCCTTGGTATAGTGAGTACCATTTCTTTGTACATTGCCAATGTGAAGAAATAGGGTTCAGGGGAAAATGCCTTTATTCCAGAGGCTTTTGAGAGCTTAACATATGTATAATGCCCTTATGATTTCTTATGAACCCACTCTACTCAGTATAACTATGATAGAATCCCACTTAAAAAACAAAACAAAAAAACCTTTTGGGGCTGGGAGTAAGTCAGTGGTAGAGTGCTTGCCTAGTTGTGCACAAGGCACCGTTTGTTCCTAGTACCACACACACACACAAATTAAACTCCTCTTAATATTTCTTTTTTTTAATATCTTTATTTTATTTTTACGTGGTGCTGAGAATTGAACCCAGTGCCTTACGCATGCTAGGCGAGTGCGCTACCACTTGAGCCACATCCCCAGCCCTCCTCTTAATATTTCTAGTTGCATTACAGATTTCTGGATATATTAATTAGCTTGACTGTGATAATCATTTATCATTTCACAATGTATGTTGAAACATCACATTGAATACTGTTATGGTTTGGATGTGAGGTGTCCCCCAAAAGCTCAATTGTGAGATAATACAAGAAGGTTCAGAGAAGAAATAATTGGGTTATGTAAGTCTCAACCCAATCAGTAAATTAATCACCTGATGGGATTAATTGAGTGGTAACTAAAGGCAGGTGAGATGTGGGTGGAGGCAGTAAGGGGTTGGGGGTGTGGCTCTAAGGTATATATTTTGTATCTGGGAGGGGAGTCTCTCTCTCCACTTTCTAATCATCATGTGAGCTGCTTCCTTCTGCCACTCTTTTTCAACATTATGTTCAGCCTCACCTGGAGCCCCCTGGAATAGAGCTGGCTATATATGGACTGAGAACTCTGAAACCATGAGCCCTCAAATAATCTTTTTATCCTCTACAGTTGTTCTGCTTGGGTCTTCCAGTCGCAGTAATGAAAAAACTGACTAAAACAAATATCCATGTCGGTACAACTTAAATATATGATTTTTGTTTGTCAATTATACCTCAATAAAGTTGAGGAAAAAAGATTTCTGGAAGACTATTTTAAAATGTTAATACCACTTACCTCTGGGATGAGAGACTAGAAGGCGTTTTTATTTTTCACTCCCTTCCTGTAGTTTTTTTTTTTTTTAACAGTTGCCTATAATATTATATTTAAAATAAAAAATAGGGGGCTGAGGCTGTAGCTCAGTGGTAAAGTGCTTGCCTCGCACGTGTGAGGCACTGGGTTCAATCCCCAGCACCATATAAAAATAAAGATACTGTGTGTTCATCTACAACGAAGTATTTTTAAAAATAAAATAAAAAATAGGGCTGCATGCTGGGCATGGTGGTGCATGCCTGTAATCCCAGTGGCTCGGGAGGCTGAGGCAGGAGGATCATGAGTTCAAAGCCAGCCTTAGCAATGATGAAGCGCTTCGCCATTCGGTGAGACCCTGTCTCTAAATAAAATACAAAATAGGGCTGGGGATGTGGCTCAGTGGTTGAGTGCCCCCGAGTTCCATCCCTGGTTCTGTCCCCCCCCCCAAAAAAAAGGGCTACAAAAAATAATAACCTGGAGATTAAGGCAGGAGGATCGAGAGTTCAAAGCCAGCCCCAGCAACTCAGCCCAAAGCAAATTAGTGAGACCCTATCTCTTAAGTAAAATAAAAAAAGGGCTGAGGATGTTACTCAATGGTTGAATGCCCCTCGGTTCAAATCCCCAGTACCCCCCCCCCAAAAAAAAAAAAATCCAGTTCCGGTGGGAGAGGAGACAGGTTCGCTAGTGCTATTTAGTTGCAGCATACAGAGGTGTGGGCTTGGGGCACTTTGCTAAGAAGAGTCAGGGGTGGGGGACAGGGCTGCATGTGGTTAACTACTTGGTACTGGTGAATTGGGCTCTGTAAAAGGTGTGTGTAATAGGAGTTGGGCACTGCACCATCTGCCTGTAGGAGCACACTGAACTAGGAAAAGAAGCCCCTTCCTCAGCGGTATCCCACTACTGACAAGGCTTTACACTGAGCCTGCTGATAGGACAAGTTTTAGAGGGTCTTGCAGGACCAGCAATGAAGGCTGATAACTTGATTAACTGGTGTAAGTCAGTAAGAGTGTGGATGGAAAAGAACCTAAATTTCTGTCTCCTTGAGTACACACTCCAGCCCACTCTGACTTCCTGCATCCTTCTACTGTGCTCACATGGAAAAAAAATCCCTTACCCTTTTGAGACAGGGTCTCAGTGTTGCCTAAGCCGGGCTTGAACTCATGAGCTCAAAAGGATTTTCTCACCTTTACCATCTAAGTAGCTGGGACTACAGGTATGTGCCACTGTGCTGGGCTTGCAAAATCCCCTATATTTTCAACCTCTTTTCCCAAACATTCCCTGCACCTTCTTGATCTAACTTCTTATTTTCAGGCTTTTTTTCTTTTTTTACCATGACCCACAATTAGAAATATATTTTACATCAAAACACACACATAGAGCTGGGGTTGTGGCTCAGCAGTAGAGTGCTTGCCTAGCATGTGTGAGGCGCTGGGTTCGATCCTCAGCACCACACATAAAGATAAATAAAAGTATTGTGTCCAACTAAAAAAAAAAAGTCAAAAAAATTAAAAAACATACATGAATACAAGTGTCATGTAAATAACTTACTAAAACAAAGCTATGTCAAGTATTTTATTAATATCCAGAAATACACAAGAGTTATAATTATAAAAATACAGAAATACATATTTCCTTGAAAGAGTTTGTTTTATGTTCTGATAAATGTTCTTTCATCCTTATGTTGTCTCCCACCAGGCTTTTATCTCCTCCATTCCATTGTCATAGCTGTTTTGAGCATCGTGAATGACTTCCACACTGCTGGATTAGTGAACATTCCTATCTTCATCTTGTTAGCAGCATGGAACTGATCTATTGGTGGCTTTGAGATAGCCTGTTACCCCCTCCCCTTCCTCCTCAAAACACTTTTTTCCACTGGCTTCCAGGACATGGCTCTTGGCTTTCTGGAACCTCCCTCATTGAGAGCTTCATCTCAGTCTCCTTTGTTGTTTTTCTTCTATCTGATCTAACCCTAGGGGTATCCCAGGGTTCTCTGACATCTCTGAACCCAGAGGCATTCTACCACTGAAGTACATCCCAGACCTTTTTATTTTTTGAGACTGGGTCTTGCTAAGTTGCCCAGGCTAGCTTTGACCTTGTGATCCTCCTACCTAACTAAACCTCTGGAGTTGCTGGCATTACAAGTATGTGCCACTGTGTCCAGTTCATCCTCTCAACTTAAAAATACTTCCTCAGTTATCTCAACCAGTTGAATGGCTTTAAATTTTCTGTCTACACCAATTTCTACACTTCCATCTCTAGCCAAGACCTATTCTCTGACGTCTCCCCACCCCTGAGAACTGGGGATTGAACCCAGGGTCTCACACATGCTAGGCAAATGCTCTACCACTGAGCTACATACACCCTTATCCCCCTCCACTCATACTAGTGGGAATCACAAATGTCACATCTCTAAAATCTAAGTCCTATTCTTCCCCTCCACAAAAAGTCCTTTCACAGGCTTCCTTCACACTAAACCTTCTCCTCCCAGTTGTTTAGCCCAAACCCTTGGTGTCACTGGAGTCATCCCTGACTCCTCTTTCATATTCTGCATCTAACCTACTAACAAATCCTGGTGACCGCACTTGGAAAACACACTCAGATCCAACATTACCCACTGGTCCGAACTAGCCTACTTCCTTCTTTGGCGCCTGTAGTGTTTTCAACATGTAGCTGGAAGGCTTTCTATAGTCAGAGCATACTATACCTCTAGTTCAAAATCTTCCACTGGCTCCCAGATCAAAGTAAATGCTGAAAACCTTACAATGGCTTACACATGGCCTGACCCTTTGCTACTTCTGTTCCTCTACCTCCCAAATCTCTTCTTTCCCTCTCCCTCTTGGCTTCCTTGCTGTTCCCTGAACATTCCATACCCACTCTTGTGCAAGGCCTCTGCACTTGTCATTTCCTTTTCCTGGAAGATTCTTTCTTGCTTTGGTTTGGATATGGTTTGAGCATGTTCCTTCAAGGGTTCATATGTTAAAATGTAATCCTCATTGTGTGGTATTAAGAGTAGAAACTCTTTCTGACTCCAGTGTTTAGAAATGGAGCCTTTTGAGGGCTGGG